GTCTCACTCTGTCACCAGGCTGGAGTGCAGTGGCGCAATCTCGGCTCACTGCAACCTCTGCCTCCCGGGTTCAAGCGATTCTCCTGCCTCAGCCTCCCGAGTAGCTGGGATTACAGATGCCCACCACCATACACGGCTAATTTTTGTATTTTTAGTAGATATGGAGTTTCACCATGTTGGCCAGGATGGTCTCGATCCCTTGACCTCGTGATCCACCCACCTTGGCCTCCCAAAATTCTGGGATTACAGGTGTGAGCCACCACACCCAGCAGGAAAACTATCTTAACCCAATTACCACCCAGCCAATTTTCAGGTGTCACAAGGATTCTCTCAGGATCTATTTCTACATGTAGGAGCTAATTCTCAGAGAGAAAAAAGTCCTCACAACCCTTTTCCCTCTTTTTTTGTCGAGGCAGGGTCTTGCTCTGTTGCCCAGTCTGGTGTGCAGTGGCAGAATCTCAGCTCACTGCAACCTCCGTTTCCTGGGCTCAATTGTCCCTCCAGCCTCAGCCTCCCGGGCAGCTTACGCTACAGGCGAGAGCCACCATGCCTGGCTAGCTTTTGTATTTTTTATAGACGGGGATTCACCATGTTGCCTAGGCTGGTCTCGAACTCCTGAGTTCAAAGTGATCCTCATGCTTCGGCCTCCTCAATTGTTGGGATTCCCGGCATGAGCCACTGTGCCCAGCCAACAACACCTTTATAGGAAGAAATGAGGGCTGGGCGTGGTGGTTCATACCTGTAATCCCACCCTTTGGGAGGCCGAGGAGGGCTGATCACCTGAGATCAGGAGTTTGAGACCAGCCCAGCCAACATGGCAAAACTCCAGCTCTACTGAAAATACAAAAAAATTAGCTGGGTGTGGTGGCGGGCACTTGTAGTTCCAGCCACTAGAGAGGCTGAAGCAGGAGAATCATTTGAACCCAGGAAGTGGAGGCTGTAGTAAGCTGAGGTTACACTACCGCACTCCAGCCTGGGCAACAGGGAAAGACGCTTTCTCAAAGGAAAAAAAGAAAGATGAAGATTCTGGAGACGTCAGCTGACAATCAGCCTGCACAGTCATTGCTTTTTTCTCTTTCTCCCTCCATCAATTTTGTGAAATGAAACATTTTACTGTCCTATGTGTAGGTTCATCCAGAGATTCTCAAACCACACCCATGGAGTCGCTCATGATCCCTGACAGGGGCATTAAGGACAACGAGGTCTAGAGAAGTCCCCTGTGTGTATGGAGGGGAGCAGCTGCAGCAATACATGTGACTTCCCTTCCTTCATCATCTCACCAACGTCATTCCTTCAACAGGCAGTTGCTCCCCGGGAAAAGATCTTGTATCAAAAATCTCTGCATAAAATACTACAGCCTCAAGTTTCCTGCCTCATCTCACGCAGCTACTGAAGAGAGGGAGGGACTACTGGAGACAGGGAACCCAGACAGTTTAGCCGTCAGACCTGCAGCATGAAAGGTGATGTCTCTGGGAACCGATCCCTCACTGTGATGGTTTTATCTGGGAACTGTTCCCTCACTGTGATAGTTTTATCTGGGAACTGATCCCTCACTGTGATCGTTTTATCGGTCAACTCGGCCAGGCTTGGTGACTGGGCCCCTTTGGTCAAACGCTACTCTAAATGTTGCTGGGAAGGGATTTGTGGATGCGATTAACATTTACCATCAGGCTGGGCATGGTGGCTGACGCCTATAATCCCAGCACTTTGAGAGACCGAGGTGGGTGGATCGCTTGAGGTCACCAGTTCGAGACCAGGCTGGCCAACACGGTGAAACCCCATCTCTACTAAAAATAAAAAGTACCCGGGTGTAGTCGTGGGTGCCTATAGTAGTTCGGGAATGCCATGCCCCCTAGCAAGACTTTCACTTCTCATTCACCCTGCAGGACTCAGCTGAGATAGCACCTCCCTGCTGGAAGCCTTCTCCAAGCTCCTAAAACACCCTGTATTTCCCTGTCCTGGCTCCAGTCCCACTCAGCTGTCAACAGATAGTTGTCTGTCAACCCCCTAGCCCTGGAGCTGACAGAGGCCAGGGACTCTGTCTTGTTCACCCACCACAGAGTCTTGAGCCCAGTGGACATCCACATTCACAAATACCTATCAAAGGAAACAAGGAGAATATGGGGCCTGTCATAAACATCTCACTGAGTATGTCAAGTCAACTCCGCAGAATCCATATTTTTCCATGTTGCAAAGGCAGAAATTCCTGCATGGAGAGGTCAAGTAACTTCCCTCAGATCACACAGCCACTCAGGGACAGAATTCCCTCCCAGGTCTCCCTGATTGCAGGTGCACACACCCTTGGTGGCATTGCCTCTCTGGGTGTTCGGCCTCCCCTGATGCCTAAGTGAGAAGGCGATCCCGAGGGACGAATTCAGACAGCAGAGTCCTGGGGGCTGAACCGCATGTCCACAGCTGCCCGGGGATCGGGTACAACACTGTGACTCCTTACTCTCATTTTCTCCCGGCCAGTTCTGTTCTTATGCTAAAAATGCTGCACCTCTCACACCTCTTGCACTACCCACTCTCATTTGCTTCATTTCTCCTGTGCGGAAGGAGAAAGAGAACAGCTAAGCAAGTGAATCCAGACTACACCCTGGAGATGACCTGATATCAGCTCACTGCAGCCCTCGCCTCCCGGGTTCAAGCAATTCTCCTGCCTCAGCCTCATGAGTAGCTGGGATTACAGGTGCCCGCCATCAGGCCTGGCTAATTTTTGTATTTTTAGTAGAGACGGGGTTTCACCATGTTGGTCAGGCTGGTCTCAAATTCCTGACGTTGTGATCTACCCGCCTCGGAAAGTGCTGGGATTACAGGCATGAGCAACCGGTGCGCCTGGCCACATGGACCTTTTTCTAGGAGTGCCAAAATCCCACAGCAAAATGACTAAGCTCTGTGCAAGGTCTCTGGGTGCTGAAAACTGTGCTCCTAGTCTCGTGCCATGCCAGGGGAAAGGAGTCCGACTCTTAGCCATGCAATGCCACACAGACTGAGGAAAGAGTCTGTCCTACACACGGCTCACAGACGTTCTATATTT